TATGGTGTTTACTTTAGAGGTGATAAAATATTCTAAAATTGATTGTGGCGATGGTTGCACAGCTCTACGGATATACTAAAAAAAAAAACATTGAATTATGCACTTCAAATGGATGAATTGTCTGGTATGTGAATTGTATCTCAATGAAGCTACTAAAAAATTGACCTCCCCTCCTCGCCCCCAAAAAAAAGGATGGAGATGATTACAATAAGTATCTTGTAGTGTTTTCCTTTGGGGTGAGGTTGGAGACTCTGATTAGGAAAGGGCTTGCGGGGGCTTCTCAGGTTTTAATATCCTATTTTTTGGTGTGGAAGGTAGTTACATGAGTGCTTGTTTTTGTGATAATTTGTTAAGCTCTACATTCATGCTCTATGCAGCTTTCTGTATGTGTGTTTTATTTCACAATAAAAAGAGTCTTAAAAAGTGTACTGGCAAATATTAATTTAAATAAGATGGAAAGGATGGGAGAATAGTTTGATTTTGTCATTGCATGCCTGCCAGTTACCAGCAATGTGCACTGGATATGGTTGCTAATTTCTTTTAGCCTCAGTTTCTTCACCTGTGAAATAGGCATCCTACTGTGCCTCTATCATAGGACTGAATCTTTAATTGACCAAATTGACCTCCCCATTTGCTCGGAACGTTATGGGACTTTCCATATGATCCAAACACCAAAAAATGACCTGAGAAAATGCCCATTTCCTGACCACCAGGTAATCCCTCCTTCCATGCCCAGCGTGGCACAAAAGGCCTAGTGGAGTGAAGGAATGGAAGAGAATCAGGTCCAGGAGAGTTAGGACACTGGGGACAGGGCAGGACCCACTCTGGTGGGGACAGGAGTAGAGCCTTCTCAGCTGAGTCCATAGAGAGACAAGATTGGGGCTGGCCTTCAAGCACCAATATCCAAACAAAATAATTCAACCCTCCATTTCATATGATTGCAGAAATTCCACTACCTGTATGATATTTATCAGGGTGTATGGACAAGGGGGAAGCTTATCTTCTCTAGTGCCTCGTCACCTCCTACTGTGCTCCATTCTCCGTCCCCTAGCTGTCTCCTTTCTTCCCTTGTCTATGGCTGCTCTCTCTCTCTGCAACTGGGCCTTTAGCTTAGGCACAGCTCTCCCTCTTTCCCAAAGCACTGACAACACAAGCCTGCTCCATCTGGTGGCACACAAGGCTTTATTAAAGACTTGGGGATCAGGGGTCAATACGCACAAAACAAATCATTTAAATTAAACATCAGGCACACCATCATTAAAATGCCTTGGCCGTCCTCAAGACAGGATTGTATACTAGTAGCCACTTACTGGCTGTGCCTCCTTGGGTGAGTTACTTAACCCATCCATCAGTCTTAGTTTCCTTATCTGTAAAGTTGGGATAAGCATAAACTTGCTTCCTAGGGTTCCTGTGAGGACTGAATCAGCAACATACTTGAGCACTTAAAATAGCTCCTGGCATCGTAAATGATACCAGTAGTCACAGTAGAAGGAGAAGGAGAAGAAGAGGAGATGTTGAGAAGAAGGACAGGGGAGGAAGAAAAGGAGGAGAAGGCGGGGGGTGGGTGAGGAGGGGAAGTAGTACCATATTGTATCTCCTGCCTGGTGACATATTCCAGGGGTCCCTTTCCTTGCCACTGCATCCCTTCTGCATCTATTCTCCTCCTTGAATTTAGAATGCCACATCACAAGTTGCAAAGGAAAACAGCCAACATTTCTGTTTCTTTATTGATGTAGAGCACTTTACCTTCCTTTTCCTCAAGCCTGCCCATTGAGTATTATCTGGGACCGTCTCTGATTTCATTTCCAAAAGTTTCCTAAACAAAGGACTCTCAACTCTAGAGTCAGGAGCTCTGTCTTTAAAGAACTGACAGAAACTCTGAAGATGGGGTTTCTCTGAGCCAGGCTCAGAGTCAAAGGACTTCTGCTCCGTTGCCCACTGCAGGTCTCTCTGAGGAGAAAGGCGAGCAGGCATTTACTCTCCCCCTTTCCAGAACAACCCATCAGTGCTGCAGTTTAAAAAAATTATGTAGTCACCCTTTGACACATTTGTACCTGCATTTATTTATTCAACAAATAACTTATTGAGTGCTTATTTTGCACCAGACACTCTGCCAGGTAATGGGGAGCAGAGACACACCTGGAGCCCTCTGGGGCTTCCTGCTGAGTCGGAGTCAATAATTAACCAAATAATCGCCACTGTTAAATTAATTAAACGAGGAGGCCATTAGACTGAGGGGGCTCTGATGCCACAGTGGCCTACATAAGTAAACCAAAATCTTAGCCTGTAAATGCCTCCCGGTTACGACATCAAAACGCTAAGGACCACAGTCACCTACAGCCAGCTGGGCTTTAAGCAACAGACAATCGACCCTTTCCTTTCTTCGCTTCTGCCTTTTATCTATAAAAGTCTCTCCCCAGCTCCTGCCCATGGAGCGCTCCTAACACTTCTGGCTTGGTGCTGCCTGACTCCAACTGGTTTTTGCTCAAAACAACTCTGAGAATTTTTAATATGCCTCAGTTTATCTTTTAACACCAGAGAAGCGATTCAAAATTGCCGTAGTGAAAAGCACTGCAAAGGAGAGGCATTTGGGGCTAAAAGGGAACTCAAAACAGAGGAGTGACCTGATCAGAGAGGTCAGTGAAGGTTTTCTCTGAGGAGAGGGTTGAGCCAACACCTGGAAGGGCCCTCCTGCGACTGTCCAGTGGAAGAAGCAGAGTGCACTCCTGGTGGGGAGGGAGAGCGCCCAGGCGGAGGGTGGAGACATGGCTTCCCATTAGGTGAGGAAGTCTGTGCTCCCGGGATTGAGAGCAGAGCTGGCAAGAGGCGCTCGTGCAGGCCGGATTGCTCCAAGAATTCTTTCCAGAAATGCCTCGGGGTGGGCAAAAAGCCAAGCTGAAGAAGTAAGGCCTTCCCTCCGTCCAGTGAATGCTGAGAGTCTTCCAAAGTGGTGTGACCATTCCTGATACCAAAACTCCTGGGCAATACGTGCACACACACTAAGGTGATTCGAGGTAGACACAGTCTCCCTGACACTATGGAGAAAGACCTGCATCCATGTGCGTCATTAAAAGTAGAGGCTTCTGTTTGGGATGGACACATTTCGTGGACTTCCCCAGGGTGACTGGACATGTTCCTCGCAGCCCATTCCATCAAGCAAACGTCCTTTAATTAATTCCTCCCTTGTGCTCCCACAGCACTTACCTCGTGGTATTTAATTGTTTGTTGATGTCTCTGTGTTTCCTAGAAGGTTGACAGTGAGCATAATCTCAGTGTTTAACCACTAGCTTTGCTGTTACTTATTCAGTGTTGCTAAGAACAACATTTTCCTTTAAAAACAGAATCTTGATACCATAGGAGAGGAAGACAATTCCTCTACCCTCTAGGTCTGTCTGGCTGGTCTACAAATTAAATTGACATGAGACAGAATAACAGGAGAAAATCAAACAAGGCTTTATAACATGTATACATGGGAGAGACTCAAGAAAACTGAGCAACTCAGCCATCTGGCCAAAGTTGTCATCTTAAATAGCATCTTCAGCTAAAGACAAAGGAGGATGTTGGGAATGGTAGTTTGGGATTTCAAAGGGGAGGAAGGCAATTCACATGGAAATGGAAAAGCGAATGTTTGGTGAACAGAACTTTGATAAGAATGGGCTTAGCAAGGATCCTGCCAGTCTATCGATACCCAGAGTTATTCATGGTGATGGCCTGTCCTGGGGACAGGCCTTTTATCTTAAATTCTTTTAAGCAGTTAGGGGGAAGGTCATAGTTTCTTTCAGTCTTTTGTGTGTGTGTGTGTGAGGAAGATCAGCCCTGAGCTAACATCCATGCCAATCCTCCTCTTTTTGCCAAGGAAGATTGGCCCTGAGTAACATCCGTGCCCACCTTCCTCCACTTTATGTGGGATGCTGCCACAGCACGGCCTGACAAGCAGTGCCTCGGTGCACGCCTGGGATCCAAACCTGGGCTGCCAGCAGCGGAGCCCGTGCACTTAACTGCTACGCCGTGGGGCCGGCCCCTCAGAGTCTTTTGTTCTTAAAAATAATCAAGGCAAAGAAATACATTTTGGGGTGGCCAATTCTGATCCCCCACAATACTATGGCTGCTTTGGAGGCCAGTCAAGAATATTGTGTTGGAGGGAGTAACCCAAATATTAAAGCATTACGTCTATGCTAAGTGTATTTGTACTGCATTTAGTGGCCACTAATTGTTAGTAAAATCAGCTTCTCCCCCTTTGCCTCCCCTTATTAAAATCTCTGTGATATTAGGCAGATCAAGATGATCAGTAAGAATACAGCATTAGTTTTGCAACTGAGGTTAAATGAAAATAAGTGTGGTAAGGAAATAAAGATTTAGAAGACCAGGTCTTTGGGATGATCTAGAAACATATTTGAAATGAACTAATTAAATGTTAACCTTATCTGAGGATGTTAACCTAAAAATATGGAAGAAATTTTTCATATAAATTTGGTGATCTGAATTCTCACTTTGCAAAATTAAATGCCATGTTTAATTTTGTTTTTTGCGCACACGTGGGTATTGACATTATCCGTAGCGCCAGAAAGAGCTGGCGCTCACACAGCGCTTCCAGGCTTGTGCGGCAGGATTTCCGTTTCCATTAAGTAAACAACAAATGACTTTAAAAATTAAACATGGAGCTGAATGTTTCATAAAGAACTGGTTGACTGAGTATCTGCACCGTTTCCTCCTAGAATGTACAGAAAGTGACCCCTAGTGGAATTCTGATGAAGCGTTTCTCCAGCGTTTTTCCTTTGTCTATTCAATCGCTGTCTAGATGCTCAAGGTCTGCTGTGTGCATCATGCTCGGCTCTGGGGACAAAGATATGATTGGAAGGTGAAGGTCAGTGTGGCTGAGAGGCAAACAGTTGTAGAAAAGACTGAGCAGAGCTGCAGGAGAGAGTGCAGAACTGGTGTATCTGGCAAGGGGCTAGGGGAGAGATGGTTGGGCAGCTGTGCAGATAAGGGTAGAAAAGGAGCAGCATGGTACCTGCTGGAAACTGTCAGTGGTTTCCTTTGGTGAGGCAGAGCACTTACAGGACAGAGTGGATAAGGTAGAGAAGTAGGAAAGGACCTTTAGCCTGTTGGTTAGTGTCTCCCAAACCGTGTTCCTCGGATATCAGCAGCGTTGCACAGATACTGCAGAAACCACATTGAGAATGTTGGTATGAAGTAGGCCTTACATGGGTATGGGAGACTGCTTAAAATGGGCTTCTTCAAGTTGGAGACCTCAGAAAGGCCAGGTCAGGTACAATAGAGGATGATTCGAGTCAGGAAGTAAAGATACTTCCTAGATGTGAGAGGACGTAGAGACCTTGCAGCAGGCCCAGATGCTGTGAATACAGACAGAGAGGTGCCAGGCGGCCGAGAAGAGCTTCTACAGTTCACAGGACCAGCTGCTGGGGGGCAGCCTGTGCAGGTGAGATCCTGCAAATACCTGCAGGGCCTGAGTAGCATCACCAGTAGCAGCAGCAGGATCACTGCCATTTACTGAGTCATTTATACATGCCAGGGACTGTGCTTTTTCTGCATTATTTTCATCCTCACGATAAGCACATAAGGTGTATATTTATTATTAGTCTCATGCACAAATGAAGAAAGTGAGACTTGCAGTGGTTAACTGGTCTGCTCCAAGTCCATCGGCTGGTAAGCGAGTGGCTGCTCAATGCTGAATCCACCGCGCTGCTCAGGCCCAGTGGGCCTGGAACCCAGCACTGTGGAGTTGGCAGAAAGCAGAGGGTGGTTAAAGCCAGGAGAGCAAATGTATTCATCGAGGGAGGCTGTGAGAGTGGAAGGGAGAGGGCAGAGGGAGGAGTCCAGAGGATAGCAACGTCGGAGGGACAGTAGAGGAGGAGGAGGGGAAAGCCAGAAGGGGAGAGAGGCAGGGGTCAAAATGGTAGAAATACAACTGAGAGAGCTATATCCTAGAAGCGGGGAGAGAGGGAGGGAGAGCACGCAGGAGCCTCTCCAGAAGGAAGCAGAATTCAGCCATGCCAGAAGCTGCAGAACAATCAAGTGTGGAAGGTCTAAGCGTTGATCACGAGGGTTGGCAGTCAGGAGGCCACTGATTGTCTGAGAGAGAGAAATGTTAGTGGAAGGAGGGCAAACCCCTTGTTGAAGGAGCTGAGGAATGAACAGGAAGCGAGGCTGAGCGAGAAGTAAGTGGAATGCGCGTTATCCAGGAGCCTGGCTGAGAGGAACTGGAGTCAGATGAAACGTGATTACAGAACAGGTTTTCCCCCTAAGTATTGAAAAAGATGTGATCAGGTTTCCATGTTGAACAGAAATGGACATGGAAAATAAGAGGTGGAAGGCAAAGTAGAAAGGATAAGTGACTGAGTAAAGGAGAGAAGGGGATCCGGAGCACAGAAGAGAAGAGCCAAGAAGAGAGATGGAGGAAGAGAGGGAAGTGTGCTCCCTGGGTCTGTTCAACGGTGGCAGAGGAACAAGGATCGAAGCCTAGAGCCTGCTTTTTCCCTCTCAGTTGAAATCGGGGACAGTGGCTCAGAGCTAGAGGACAGAAGAGGAACGGAGGCTTGAAGAGAAGCCTTCTGACAATTGCTGTTGGGTACAGAGGTGACAGATGACCTGAGACCAGCAAACACGGCGAAGCAGCAGAGAGGGGCCGGCTGAAGTGGAGACCTAGGTGCATGGTGACACAGGTCAGCACAGCGGGGCAGGTGACTCCACAGGGTGTGGGCTTGGGAGCAGAGAACACAGATCACAGGAGCTAGAGAGCAACCAGACCACTGTTTGCAGATCAGTTATTTTGTATTTTTCTGCCATATCTGAAAAGAAACTGAGGATGCTGCCAGGATTTTAAAAAAAGGGAAGTGAAGCCTGGGGATGAGAGGGGGATGGTGTCGTGTAGACTGACACAAAAGGGAAAAACTGCGAGTCCAGAGATCTTGGTATTGGATAAGAGATGAGAGCCGGAGGGACAGGAAGTTGTGACCCAAGGGGAAAACGCTAGCCGTTCAGTGAGAACGCGTATATGCCAGGCGCCACGCTAGCACATCCTAGATACTATTGCATGTAACCTTACAGCAGACCTATAAGGTTAATATCACTCTCTTCATTTTACAGATGAAGAAACTGAGGCGCAAAGATGGCAGCTAACTTGTGCAGTGTCGTGCAGCTGGCGGATCTGCCTCACAGCTTGTGGGACAATCACAAGGCGAGGTTGAGAGGTGGAGCAGTCGGGTAGTGAAAGGATGGGGGCGGCCGACACGGGAGGGGACTATTCTCCTAGACTCGATTGGAGGGTGGGTGATGTCAAGAGCTGGATGCAGACGGTCTGAAATGTGAGTGATGGGTTACCCCACCACGGTGGCTGGGGGCAGGGTTGAAGATACCAGTCAAGGGAGGAAATTGTACGTACAGAGCAATAGTGCTGAGGACGGAGGGTGAAATAGCCAGATTGCATGACATTGGTGACATTTTTGTACAGGGCAGGACTGGCTGCGTAATTTGTAGGGCCCAGTCAAAATGAAAGTGTGAGGGCCTTTGTTCAAATATAGTGCTGTTAAAGATACTAAAATGTAAAAAGACTTTCCTTCTTTCTGCAGTCTCTCTCTTGACCTGTCATGGTGGATGTTTTTATTTGCTATTTCATGTCGTGGTCCCTTGGACATGGGGATACTGGCAGAGTGAAGGCAGACCCTCACAGCCGCCCAGTGGGGGCTCTGTCCTGTGACTCAGTTTCTGGTCACCGAGTTCCGAGTTCTACTTCCCCTGATATGCTGCACCCCAGCTGGATGCAAATAAACCAATCTCCGCTTCCCACAGCCCACCACCCCAACCCAGAGCAGAAGGAACAACAACGCCGGCACCAGGACATGCTTGCTGCCTGGATCAGGGAGGGCGAGAGGCCACCCTTGCCACGTGCCCACCAAGCAGACGCACTGTGGCACTGCCAGCCTTGGACAGGGATGGTGCTGCCGTGCCCCACCTGAAGATGCCATGGGGGGTGTTCACCCAACCTTGGCCCTACCTGCGCCTGCATCCAGCTCCCTGCCTGGAGCAGAGGCACACAGTCGACTTGCTCTGCTGAGAGGACCCAGTCACTGCCCCAGGGAGGGGACAGGAAGGGGCAGACTGGATGGGACCCAAGGTGCTGGGGGCAAGGGAAGGGGGGAGCGGGAGGCCAAGAACCCGACTAGGGAAGGTAGGGAGGCAGTGGGAAGTGGGACCCCATATGCGCCAAGGCTCTAAGCCCCTTGAGCATGCTCCACTGTCCATCAGACTTTACTTACGGAACACAAATTAAAGGTAAAATTGTTATATTAGTTTGCTAGGGCTGTCATAACAAAGTACCACAGATGGGGTGGCTTAAACAACAGAAATTTATTTCCTCACATTTCTGGAGGCTAGAAGTCCTAGATCAAGATGTTGCAGGCATCTTGGTTTCATCTGAGGTCTCTGTCCTTAGCCTGTAGATGGCCGTCTTCCCCCTCTGTCTTCACTGGGTCTTTCCTTCATGCCTGTCTGTATCCTAATCTCTTCTTCTGATAAGGACACCAGTCATATTGGATTAGCACCCACCCCAATGACCTCATTTAACCTTAATTACCTCTTTAAAGACCCTGTCTTCAAATACAGTCACATTCTGAGGTACTGAGGGTTAGGACTTCAACGCATGAATTGTGGGAGGACACAATTCAGCCCATGTTCATTTTTTACGAGTTTCAAGATGGCAACTGCAGAGCTTTAAACCCCAAGCCTGGGGCACTTCTGTGCATGGAGCCCCATGTGACTGCCCTGGACTCATGCCCCTGAGGCCAGCCCTAGGCTGGGAGTTCAGTGATGTGGGAGCAGCAGTGTGGAGCGAGCAAGAAGGATGGGATCTCCTCCGCCCAGACCTAGAGGTGTCAGGTTCATGGAAGAATGAACACCCTTCATTGGACAGAATTGTAAAGGAAGCAAAGCAATGTTCTTGATGAGAGCCAGGCTTTGTTAAGATAATGGGAAGAGTGAAAATGTCTTGAGCAGGTTGAGAATGAAGAGAAGCTTCCTCGAAAGCAAATGAACATTCCACCAGAAAGAGCAGAAAGGTCTGGGAGGGAGGTCAGCAGTGAGTGAATAAATCCCAGAGGGAAGAGAAGTATATGAGGATGAGAATATGAGAAAGAAGACACAGCAGAGGACTTTACATTTCTTTGCTTTTCATTATGCTGGTTTTAAATTCCCTGAATTTAGAAATTAAATTAAAATTTAATTGAATTATAATTAAACATTAACATTTCTTGATCTAACTTCTGCTGTGCTTCACATACAAACATGGTGGTAGTGACTGACCAGTGCAAGGATACTTCCTGCTGATCTCTCCCTGTTCTCTCGTGGTCTCTGTTCCGATCATGTAACACCTGCAGAGGATGGACTAGGGAGACTACATTCTGCATCTTTAGCAGACAGCCTACTCTCCCACGCTGGAAACAAAATCATAATTGTTACCACATCACCATAGTACTCTAACAAATTAAGCTTAGTCCCTTGAATATTTGCTTGGGGGTCATTATTCTCAATATCTTATAATAGTCACTCTCAGAGAACAACAAAAAAAGCCTTGTCTGCCTTTATATGAAGAGAAATACAGGCGATTAATAAGTTTAAAGAGCTACTGCAGTGTAATATCAGTTTAGGAAATTAATAACATGTGAAGTAGAGAGATCAAAGCAGCTTTACACAGAAAGCTACGTAATGAAAATACTGATATATCGTTGCATATGGTTTTAATTTTCTACTCAAATCCCATCAAATAAGATAACAATAATTAATTTTTAACTATTCTAATAATGGCAATCATTTTAAAAAGTAAAGGAAAACATGCTCATTGCAGAAAATTTAGATAAGCAAAAAAGAAGGGGGACATCGTTATAATCCTAACACCCACTTTCTTTGAGATATTTTTGCTTATTTTCTTCCAGTCTTTTTTCTACAGCTATGTATCCACACACTTTTCTTTTTGCAAGAAGCAGGATCCTATCTTACATAGTGTTGAGTAATCTGCCTTTTACCACTTAACAATGTAGGATGAACATTCTTGCATAGTATTATATTAACGACTACATTTAGTTATAATTTATTTAACACATTTCCTGTTGTTGGA